ATCTATTACTTATACGAAAACGCTGGAAAGGTAAGTACTTTTCTAAAATAAATTTCCTTCCATTTAACGTCTGTTTTCGGGCAACCCTGTCCATTTTACTTTAATCAGAGTTACAGATGGTATTCACTATAATAATGACTAGTCTTAAGGCGACTTTTTTGTTATAACTGTAAGTTATAAGTTTAAGTGTGTATCTACAAGTTGGGCATTGTAAGTCAGGGCACAACAATCGCTAATCATATTATTGATATGAGGCAAGTGGTGGGTCATTACCGGCGCGAGGGCGCGAGGGTTGCGCAGGGTTGTGCCATTTCGTCGTACTGTTGTTATTTTGATAATGCAAAATTTAATTTAACTCATTACTAAAACATCCATTAGTCTGAATTATTTAAAAGGAGAAATAAAACCAGGTAAAAAGCTTATGAAAAGTAAAGTACAACTTCAAAACTTGATAATGGTTTAAAATCAATTGGAAACAAAGACTTTGAAAAATCTGATTTTTGTTACATTTCTTTCGAAATCTACAAGTTTGTATGATTTCCACATTTCAAACCAAAAGTGAAAACTATAGCGTAGTTAAGTGCCATGTGACAGATGACAGCCCTGCGCGTTGCGTGCTAGATGTCGCGATAGGGGGCGCCACTCGCTAGCGGAGCGCTCGGCCTAGCTTGTAGCGTGGTACAAGGCACAAGCTGAACGATTATAAACGAATAAGATATATTAACAAGTTATACTGAGTTTATTTGTTTCTTCATCGAGTAACCTAAAAGCAAGTGATATATATTGTAATGAATCTCTAAACATTTTATGAGATTCGTATAAAAATAAGTACCTATTTGATATTACTGATATGAAAAATAGATCGATCGATAATATATAGTTTAATTAAAAATGTTAAGATCCAAACAAAACGGTAGAAAGTAGAGTAAAGTTAAAAACATGGATCAAAAGTTAAAGCGTGTAATTTGTACCACAGGGTACACGCTGGCTAATGCAGGTGACTTGCAAGCGCTGGCCATTAGAGGCGACCAGCGGCCACACCGCGCCGCTGTAATAACCGAGCTCGCGAATTAGCTACACTAGCCACTTCGCCGCCGCGCCGCTAAGAACTAAAACCCTTCCATTATGCTAATACATGATTACATATTAAAATTTCGACCATTACAACACTTTACCGATAAAATAATACATCTAAAAGGCGCTAAAATCGTACAATTCTATGGGAAATCCAAGTGTTTTAAGTTCAAAGAGGTCTTTGGAAGGTTTATTGTATTATGTTTTGGTATATGGTAGCAGAAATATCCTTTTTGGAAAGAAGACATGTGAACAATATGAAAATCCCCTCGACATTTTTAATAATCCGCGATACTCCGATCTTGATACATCGACTGTTGAATTATATTGATACAATCTAATTTTGTTGACTGCACAGAAAAGGAATACTGCAAATATAGAAAACATATACTGTCAAATTTCAACTTTATTTCTATAACATTTAGATCGTATTTAGAAAACGACAATGTATACAAAGTTTACAGAATACGGGACGGTTGGATCTCGTGTGGAATGACATCGTGAGATATCGGTAGTGCCAATTTACATTTGCGGTGCGACAGGATCTATAGCTGTCATATTTACGTTCAGTCTAACGTCAATATTTGACTGGAGATCGGCTTGAGAGCGACAGATAAGCGTTTGCGAGCGTCTCGGGTCCGCGAGTTGGCATTGTAGAGGCACACCACAATAGATAGCATCGATGGAGTTTGACGGGTCGTGTGTGGGCCGCCTTGCCCCGCGTGCTCCGCCGCCGCTCGCAAAATGATTCACGAACGTATTTGTGCTTTATCAAGACGTCTAATATAGTTCCTTATCACCGGAGCGTAGACGACACGGCTCGCTTGACCCCTAAAGGTCGATCGTTTCGGAGAAATCCAAGTAGAACCTGGGGTCCGCGAGTACTTGTATTGAGTTTTTGGCGCATTGACGTTGGAGAATTAGTGTTCATTTGTTTTTTAACTTAACACAAAGCTCAACGTACAATATGTTGTCCTGATCCTAAGTTTAATTAATCGTACATTTTATTATACATTGGCTTTTTGACCAAGGACAAAATTTATAGTTAAGCAATTGTTAGCCTCAACTTTACCCGTGTTAGTTGACAAAGGGATCGAAATGTAACGCACTACTTTCATTAGCATATTGACCCTAATTTAGAAGTGTCCAACTACCCGCGTCAAAATCCGACGGAAACATTGACGTTAATAATTTTATACAATTCTTCGCTTTAACTGATAATTTCAACAGAACAGTTCGACGTTAAAACTCAGTCAGTTGTCGCTATTTGACAAATCGGTTGAATAACATTTTATAAAGCGAGATTAACTGACAAAAGATAACTTGACTTTTTGACGTTATTAAAACAATATAACCACGACAATTTACTTCACTTCTTCATGTCTTTAATCTGGTTTAGAGTAAGCTTACATTGCTACAAATTGCCAGTCATTTTCCGCGATCAAGGAGTGAACTTAATTAATTGGCAATTTGTCATGCTGGGGCATGTCATCTTGGCAATGAACAAATTGCTCGTCACCATGACAGAACGTTAACTAAACAATATTTTAGTGTAAATACAGCATCTAAGTCGGTACCAGTCTCATATGTTGGTATTGAAACCAGTTTGTTACCTGTTTGTGTTTTGACGTACAGGTACCTCCAGCCATTTGTGGTACGGTTTTAAATGTAAAATTTTTTAAGAGGAAGTTTGTTGTAATGGGAAAGCTATTCCACGTGTTGTAATAAAACAATGAGTTACTTGGATAATTTTATATCTATTTCCTAATAACTTTAATGTTAAAATGTGGCGAAAAGCAAAGGTTAAATCATCTAGGCTTAGTAGATAAGGTAATAAGGACAGTTAGTAATGTACGTAATCCTCAAAGACCGAAGTTTCAATCGATTGTTTTAGCTTTTTTCCATACCACCCTCTTGCAAGTCGCGTGCCGGCCACAACAAACACGGGGCTTAGACGCACGGGGGCTTAGGGGCACGGGGGATAAGCTCGTTGTCGGGTCGCGTGAGGCGGCGCGGCCGGACGAGCCGTGTCCTTTGCGTATTTCCTTCTAATTAGCTTTTTGGGTTAAACTACTTGCTAGATTAGTGTTAACAAAGAAAGACTCAAGAAACTACACGCAAACACATTCTATTTAAAATTATATTTACTTAAAATACTAAAGTTTTTTGTTAAAAGAAACAGATATTTATTATTTGTAAAATACTATAGTTCTTACATAAAAATTTTGAATGACAAAAAACACATAGAAATCAGAGAAACTCTGGAATAGTCGCTGACGCCTTACACTTTGGCCTTCACTATCTAGCGCCCAGGGCTGTCGCTGTTAAGTTCTAAATGTAATCCTATAGCATGAATAGGAATTTATCTATTTATCAGTTAGTCAATAGACGTGTCAAACCTAGGTCAATGCTGACGCCTGTCACCTGTCCCGGCCAGACCAGAGAATGTAACATAAAGCTGTCTTACGCTATTACTAATTTACCTTGTACATTTGTAAAGTAATCACGGATTTAATGAACATTAGTGTTGGAATTCTAAGGATGCAAACTGACCAGTAAAAGTTCGGTTGATTATTATTTTGAGATCTAAAGAGGGTTTATAATTAATCTATACTATCTATGCTATTATAATAAATTGTAAACACACACTTTTTTGTTGCCTAAGATGTCAGCAATTATAGCATATTTTTGAATAATTCTTCTTTTAATAAAAAGCCCTACACTTACATCATGCTTTAAGCTAAATATTTTTACGCCATTAAACTTAGGGGGTAAAAATTTTGGATAAAAACCCTAATGTGGGAAAGAGACCATAAGTTGCTGTCAACATCAAGAAAGAAAGATTGCTATGGTTTGTCATGTCATGTCATTTTGACATTTGTTATTGATAATTTGATAAATGTAAACAATAAAATTAAATTTTCATAATTTTATGCGGATGAAGCCGCACAGGAACAGCTAGTGATAAATATTGTGAAAGACGGGTAGGCTACGCAACTTCGCAACATAATGAATGTAACAATTTTATTTATGTACTAGTTTTTACCAGTGACTCCGTTCGCGAGGGATTAAAAAGCCATGTGTTCTTTCAGACTATGGGCAACGTTCAACCGTTTAGGAGATACTTTCTAACAAATTTACCATCGACAAAGCATATAAACTATCGCATTTATGATGTCAGTTAATTAATTTCGTCATTATAATACTGTTATTTGACCATTACATCATGGATTAAGAAAAAAATTATGAGTGCCTATATTTTTAAAACACAAGCACAGGTGTCAAAGGTCTCGCAGTAGGTGTATGTAGTCTGCGGGTCCGGGATCACAACTCGTGACCCCGTCCGTCACAATAACATGCCGGCAGCCGGCAGTGCGCCACCGCGCCACCGCGCCATCGCGCCACGGGTCATTTTAATTGACATACTAACTAGCGACTGTCAGGTCATTAATGTTAAATCTGACACAACTTCTGTTCGCAGCGAGAATATTAATTTAATTTATTTTAATTGTTGCGGCTAGATTTAGGCTACATTAAAGTTTAGAATTACAGAAGGACTGCAGCACATATAGTGTTGTTTTACCTCTTTTCATCTGAGATTGTTAAAGTCAAAAATGCGCAAGATAACATTGTTTATTATCAAATTAAGAAAGTGAGTATTTTTTAATAGCAATTTTACTAAAACTTATAAGACTTTCCTATACCTACAAGAATTAACTACATTTAGGCTAGGTCTAAGAACAAAAACCAAATAATCCTATAATGTGTGTGTCCTAAAGTGTGAGAAGTCCTACTTAAACGCTACATCCTATTAAAATGGCTCAAGGTGCGTTTTTATTACGTTGGAATTTTTGTTTGAATGCTCACTTCTATTGTAACGTATTATATCTTACTAAACTTTTAACAAATAAAAAAATCGTACTCACCAGTTGGTTTGGGTACGTTCCTCTTGACCTGCATCCACTTGTAGGTGGGCACAGCGTGCGCGGCGTGCGGCGCGTGCTGAGCGTGCTGCGCGTGCGGCGCGTGCGCGTGCGGGCCCAGCGCGTGCAGCTCGGCATCGCGTGGGAAGCCCTCACGCAGCCCTAGGAATTCGTCCTTGGGCTGGTAGGGGTCGAAGTCCCCGCAGGGCAGCGGTGAGCCGTGTGCCGAGTGCGCACCGTACTGTACGCCTTCCTCCACGAAGTGCATGTTGTACTTCGTCTCCAGGTAGTGCCCGTCCAGTTTGTGCTCATCCCTGTGCACGAGGGGCATGTGGGGCGTGTGGGGCGTGTGCGGCGTGTGGGGCGTGAGGGGCGCGTGCGGGGCGAGAGGCGGCGCGGGATACGCGTGCTGCAGCTCGCCATAGTCCAGGTTGGTGTAACAGAGTCCGGCGTCTGTGCTGATGACGGGCGGAGTGTCTAGTGGCGCCGGCGGTGCGGGCTCGTAGTACTGCTGCTGGTCGTAGTAGCCCTCGTGGCAGTCGTACTGGCAGGGCGGCGGGTAGTACTCGCCGCAGCCCTGCTGCTCGCCGTATAGGCCCACATCCATGGTCATCATGTCGGATGTGCCGATGCGCCGTCACCGCGCACGTCGCCGGCGCGACTCCCGCCGCACTGAGCGCGCCGTTTCGCCTCGCCACGCGCAACACTATTTATCCTAATCACGCCAAAACTTCGAATCTTCCATTCCACTGTTACGCGGTCTCAGCCCGCGGACCGACGGAGACGATATAGAGGTATAGATACGCCGCGATAACCGGATGACGCGCCGGTTACGGCTTTCCACGACCGAGTTTTGTTAATGGATTTAAGTGTTTTAAAATGGAGCGCGGCGGCGAGGCGACCGTGATTGTGGACAGCCGTGGACGGTTAGCGGCGTCGGGTGCGCCGGGTCGGGCGGTCCGGGCGGGCCAGCAGGCGGGGCGGCGCCGCGGGGTGCGCGGCCAATGAGCGCGCGGCGCCGTGCGGGCGGGCGCCGGTTGGCCGCCGGCGGGCCGGGCCGGGCTCGTGTTATTTACCGCATCCTCCGAACGCCGTACAGCCCTGCCTGCACTACACTGCATACTATACAATGTGTCACTTTTTCTTTCTCTGTATGGACTTTATTCGGACGTGCAGACTCGTTTTATCGACAGCAATCGAGGCGTGCGAATTTGTTGCTTTTGTGTTCCCAAAAAAAAAACTATTCTTTGCACATTGTATGTAACTTCTTATATTCCTGCCATACTCCAAATAGATACAAAATAATGACAACTAGTGGCTGAATCTGCCACTACATGTTTCATAGGTACTGATCAAGGAATCCACAGGATCTTTGATATGATGAAAAATCTGGAATACAAATTTATTCATCATACATCAATATACTCGTCGTGAAATTAGTATGACACAAATAACTTCAATTAGGAAGTTCTGTAATTGATACTGTCTCAGTTTTGCAACATAGATATTTGCAATTTATCTGCAGTTACTGTACAGTGCACTGTGGCTGTAGTAATCTTTGCGCGCATTATGGCAATCCGAGAAATATAAACTTACAACACAACTTAAATACATAATCTAGGAGTGTATACATAATATTAAAGATACTATTAAGCTACTTCTTTATCTAGACCATTTTAACCTTATTTGGCGCTCAGGAGCGAAGGTAAAAATTATTGTGAAAGTAGTGTTGGCTTGTACCATATCGTTTTCTGTCCAGCCCAAGGTATAGACGGTTCAGATTCTTGTCTTAAATTTCTCTAATATGTTTTATAAGTCATTGTGATTTGTTCTAAATGTAAACCAGGGTAACAACGTGGTTAGACAGGACTAGATGTTTTAATTAAGGTGATAATTGTAGGTATCGATGATGTCATCGCAAATAAGTAGATGTTAATATAAGTTGCAACACAAATACATAAGGGTTTCTTTTATAACAAAAACAAAACATATTGTAACCTTTTGGAGACTGCTATAGCAATAGACATTACCACACGAGGAGCAGTCACGATAAGCCAAAGGCGAGACGCGACGGTTCCCTTCTGTCTCACAACAAATTTTATTTTGAAATCAAAATAACCTTTATAACTATACCACTAATGACTATTTTCGTTTGTCAGTTACCTGTTGGTGCATTGCTATAAATATTTTAATGAGGAGAGACGTGTTAATGTCCGAGACGCGACAGATAACGACGGCTGTAACATACACGGCTAGGGCTGTTGAGCAAGGTATCGATAATTTCTGCGCGTAGATGGTTTCTTCTGTTTAAACAGTTATTTAAAAACATGTTCTTTTCTAATTCTCGTGGAAATTCGACATTCAAAAATAGAGATGAAACAAAAGAAGAAAGCGCAATAAACGCAAGCAAAGACGCACTGATTAAACTATTGGTGTTATTTATATTTTCTTTGAATGTAGAATCTATTTAAAATACAAGTAATGAGTACCTACGAATTAAATTAAAATATTCAATATGAAATATAAATTAACATAACATGTAAGTGTATACCATTTGTATGGAATAATCAAATAATTTCGAAAGGTCCTGTCACTCGAATGATAAATAAAATATTTTACACAATTATAATTGTACGAAAATGTACAATTAGTCTTTGTTTTTTGTCGATAGAGATCTTATCGTAACCCTTCCCTACTGCAGTGGGCATTCAATTAAGTTGTCGAGTGCCGTTCTCGTTCTCGCTCACTCTTGTTATACTCGTGTCTAGCTGTCCCTGTCCCGCACAGCAACGGAAGCTTGCGTTATGTGGTAATGATTAATGGCGATAGGGGCTGTAAGGGCCGCTGCTGAAGGGTTAACTCTTAACTTTTTTTATTTAATGGCAATGAAAAGGCAATTAAAGTAGCCATGCGGAGATAGCGTGAAATTGATAGTTTACTAACGTAACCTTCAAAGTTTTTATCTCAATGGGGTTAAAGGTTTAAAAAAAGTTTCGATCGTTAGTTAAAAACTTATTTATACTGTTACTGTACAGTTAGACAAGTGTCTAGTCTAGATATAATTCGCGTCTTTGCGCAAAAGCCTAGCTTATTTTTATGTTTATAAAATTAGCGCTTTTTCATTTTGTACTTATCTCCCGGTCATTTTAATAAATGAAGGTTCGCCCACAGTCTCAGATAACAACAAACTCGCCTAAAACCCTAACACGTTATTATATCAACATTTCTAAAAAAGCTCAGCGAACACGCTTCCACCATTATTAATCAAATCTTGCGTCAAAACACTGTGATGTGTTCACTCACCACTACCTAATAACCCTTTTAACACCTACTCCATTCAAAATTGTACCGTAACCCCTAATGTTAAAGTATAATATTGTTTGCATCTTTAACTTAAACATAAAACGTTTTGAAATTATAATACTTTCGATGAAAACAGAAAAATAAACTGTATGATCATTCGAATAAATACGATTATTGTTTAACACTTCTTAAATCAGTGCAACCAATGCCTTCCACACTATACACAATGAAATATATATTCTATACCAACGGTATAGGGATCAATTTGGATTGTGTAAGTTTAATAGGTTGTAAAGTGATAGTCCATTGTTTCTGTATCGGTCGTCATCGTCAAGGTATGAAGACATCGGCCGTCAGAGGGCGAGCCGATAACGCCTGCCTCTTAATGCTGCGCTCGTTTTGTTCTGTAGCCTGGTGACAGGCGACAGGCGACAAGTCCGAGGTCTAAGTGGGCGATACGACCTGCATTACGGAGATGTTTAATCTTATCATTTGACCTTTCTTAAAGTTTGCATTACGTTCCTTTTCACAACTTATACTAAAGTCGTATAACTTAATACTTAAGTAATAAAATATATATTTGATGTTCCCGCTTGTAATAGGTATTACCTTTTGTCAATACATTTATAAATGTGAATAACTTTCTAGATAAATAACTTTCTATTTACAGTGAAATAATCGTAACATTTGTTGTGTCATCAACCACATGTCGTTACGTAATCACATAAACAAACTTAATTAATTAACTATACCATTAAACTCGACGGTCCGTAACTAACTGCTTTAACCAATTTGTATTTTAAAACATCACTCCATTAAATGTTAACCCTATACCGCGCGGAACCTTGAGCTGTCAAACTTGACAGGTGTCAAATTTGGCAGTTGTCAGCGTGACAGCGGCGTGATTGAGCGCCCGGTGATTAATTAGCGAGTTTGTAATTGATTTGACTGCTTGTTTTGTCTGAACACGCGTCACAACTAGTAACTACAGACGTTAAATATTTGCGGTTTTGTAACGTGAATGGGATACCATATGCTTAAGTTAATGGCCTGTAACTACTATGTGATAACTCATTATAATTTTTATGTAGAAATGAACGAAATTCTCATAATTTAGACGTCATATTAAAAGCGATCTGAAAAATAAGTAATAAGAAATATGTAGTTTTAATCTTGTAGTAAAATGAAACCTTGAATTTAATACTGCAGATAAAAAAAATATTAAAGAACCTACTAAGTGGAAATAAGCTTTGAAATTATAACTGTTCCAGTATCCCGTATTCCTTTTATCGTGATCAAAGCGTTCCAATTTAATTTAATGCCTGGTATACAATAAAAACCTGGTATAATATAAAAACGGGTAATCAACTGACATAATGTGAACACTACCTAACATTCGCTACAGCTCAATTGTATTGGCCAAGTGTGATACCAGGCATGAAGTGTATGAACAGTCATTTTGTGTTAAAAGCATAAATTCGATGTGCGTCTGATCCCCGGTGGGCTGACGTAACAAGGAACTGATTGTTGTCAACTAATCAATAGACAAATATTGTCTCTGGTTATCGCGTCTTATCTCGCGGCCCCTTTGTCTCCAGTAGTGCGCAGTAAAACTGTAGCGTAGTCTATGGCCGTGGGAACACACCCGTGAGATCATTATGAATATTAAACATTGTTTATGGATTTTTAGTTTTAATTACTTTATAGCGCCATGTTGTAGACTAACATAGGTCTGTGTAGCACTAAAAACTTTTATTCGGGAAAATAAGTACCCAAGTAAACTGCTGCAAATGGTCGAATTTTTATATTTAAGTTTTTGACCTGAAATTTCACATTAAAATTTAAAAGATGACTGTTTTTATTTGATTATGGATAGGGACTACGACGTTTTCAAATTGCCTTTACTTTATTTGTATTGTATTATCTGTGCCTACATGGTTTTTTTTTCACTTCAAAACTTGTGCCATACAAGTTTTAAATGTCTACATTTAATTGCATGCGCACATGTCGATAACATTTCTAGAAACTTACTACCGTTTCAATGAAAAGTGTAAATAAATCAAACGCAAATAAATATGGACTATTGACGTCACAGATAAGATAAATTTGGGTATTTCCTAAGTCGATATCATTGCGTTCACTATCGAGTTGGCCGAAGATAATGTCCTTATTAATACTGCTTACTTATTTTTTGATTCAAGCAATTAATTTATACAGTCTATATATAAAAAACATTTCATAAAAAAAAACAAATTCAGGCCAAGACAACCTTCTTCTGTTTGAAGTCGGTTAATAAAAGATAGAAAATAGGCACACCTAGTTTTAAAATAGAATTGCTGAAAACAAAAACATGAACTTCAAAGAGTAAAAGAATCGAAAGTTTTTTTTTAATTAATGACATTTTTATGAACTGCCAGTCATTTTTATATCATAAAAATAAAAAAAAAAAACGTGATGATTATCTTTATTTCAGTATTATAATTTACGTATAAATGAGTAAACATTCGTCCTTGTTACCAGTGTGTGTGTCGCCGGTCGCCGGGCGCTCCCCCGGGAGCGACGCGCGCTGGGCCCATCCGTCTTGCTCCGACGGACCAACTTTGCTCAGCTAAA